ACTGTTGCACAGATAGGCGTATCTGTACGCCTATTAGCTCTTCGTTGCCGGGCATCCAGGAACAACTCTCTTGGCTCCTCCCCACTGCTCCAATGCATGACGTCCGGATCACACTTCCATGTCTCCTCCCCACTGGTCCAAGGCTCAGGCGCCTCCTGGTGGCCAACCAGCCTTTCTGTGCCCTGCTCAGAGTCAGCACCCTGTCCAGGGTCCTCCACATCCTCCAGAGCCGACTCATAGTGTTACCTAACTAGTTATAGTTAAGAAAGATGACATTTAAACCTTTGTTTGTAAAGCACAATGAATTAGTCTATTCACTAATCTAGAACTTTCAATTCTATTGAGAATACAAGTCTTGGATTTTTTATGCTTCCTAAGGATTCTGGGAATTGCACTTCTTGGAGGTATCAGATTTTGGAAGATGATTGTATCTCTCTTAATTTATGGTCTAAATATCAAACAGGATCCTTAATGCTGGCACGCCATTGCATTCGTCACAGCTGTAAGCTACTTGTGCAACACTTTCCAACGCAGAGTGAAGATTAATAATCACGTGGCAAAATAGATACTGTAAATGTAGGCATTAAACATGTGGCCCAAGTATTTGACATAAATAGTGCAAGTATTTACCATATCTGCAAAGATAACATTTGTTCATACAGTTAATGAGTCAGATATATAGATAGAAGGGTACAAATCTAATACATGCAGAAACCAGTATGCTATTTTATGAAAAATGAAAGTCCTTGGCTACAATATAGCTCCATCTACTTACTATGGTCCTTCCAAGTTCTCTGTGCTCAGGGGTATCAAGCTCTATTTCATTGAGGGTCGCATTAGGGTTATTTGAACTCAGGGGGTCAGGGTGGGCATGGCCAGCTCGACGTCAGTCGTCTCAGAGGCACATATGGTGGCCTGGGGGAGGGAAGATCCTCCTGCAGCACTCTGCTGCGTGTGGCCTTCCTGGGTTCTGTTTTCGCTGGCAGATGCACCATGGGCTGGTCCTTTGCTGTTTCCATGGCGGCACCATAGGACAGATCTAAGAACCCTGCAGGCCAGATCCAGCCCACAGGCTTTGGGTTTGACACCCCTGTCTTAGCTGAAACCTATACTTTTCTAAGGTGAAGGTTCCCTTCACACATGTGATACTCATTCCCAACCTTACGGGGCGGTGTTCATCTCCATTTCAAAGCCAAAGAGCCAGCGTTGTCTGAAGACTTCTCTGTGGTCATGTAGCCAGCATGACTAAACGCCGAAGGCACATGGAACACTGTTACCTTCCCACCAAAGGTGATCCCAATTTTTCTTCTTGCATTTTTACATGTTTTCGAACTGCTAGAAGCTGGGACAAGTAACTGGCAGAAGCTGGGACAAGTAAGGGAGCTCACTCCGTTATGCGGCGCTAGGGATTTGAACTGCCGAACTGCCGATCTTTCTGATCAACAAGCTCAGTGTCTTAGCCACTGAGCCCCTTTCTAATACTTCTCTAGTATTTCTTTAAAAGTTGGTCTTTTGGGATTTCTTTTCCATCAGAAAAAAGGCAACTTCACAAACTGCCTCTACTACATATAAAAAACTACACTTGTAATACTCCCCCAGTCTCTTCCACTGACCAGTATGGACAGAATCCTCTTGTCAGTTAATCCCCCTATCTTTAAACATCACCATACTTTGGCAGGATAAAACTCATTGCTCTGAGAACAAAAGGCAGAATAGTGCTCTCCAGCCATTCTAGCCCACCAGCACACAATCATCAAGGCCACTAGCAAAGAAATATAGGGTTTATATTCTAACATATTTAGAAAATACCAGCTTCTTAACAAAAGGATTTCAATGCAGCATCTTGGCACATCATGAAATTATTCTATTAGAATCTTACGAATATCAATTCAAAATGGAATGAATACAGTAAGACTTATTTTTTGTACCAAGTATCTGTAGGAGTGTAACTTTAGTTCAGTTCTTTGGCAGCTACAAGTTCTCATCTCAGGTTGGATACCATCAAGCTATAAGAATACCCTCTCTCTAATGCAAGGATTAAAGTGCTCATAAGCATAGTGATGATGCTTCTGATGAAGTTTCCAATAATGCTCTTTCATAGTAAAAATGGCTTTCCCAATTTTTGGAGGGTCATCAGAATTCATCTCTAGACCTTCAGTCAGCCCAGTGTGGTTTGTCATACCCAGATGGTTTGAGTGAGCACCTTAGGATAGTGGGTTTTGGGTTTAGGACATCTGCTCTGGGAAGATCCAGTTTTTGAAGATCAGGACATGTGTCTTGCCCAGTGATTGATTTAGAATAATCTGTGATACCGTCTTCGTGAATCTGTTCATTTTCAGATATTTCTATAACCATATCTTCTTGGGTGCTCCTTTCTCCTTTCTGCATTCCTTGGGAACCATCGATATCTAGGTCTTTGCTATAATTCGGATCAATGATTTTTGCATTCTCAATGACATCGAATTTCTCTGCTGTTTTTACATCTTCACATGGTTCCATTGGCTTGTAGGATGTTGATGTTATAATGTCATATCTGCATTCTGACTTACATTCAGCATTACCTACTTGGTTTCTTACCACAGTTGCCTTTAAAAAATGTAACAACAACATCAAGTCAGTCATGCATTCCATTTTTTTAAAAAAGAACTGCAATAAGGGATGAAATAGAAATTATAGCAGATGGCTACACCATCTCAAATCTAGCAGGTGAAACTAGGACAGAGCGATCCTGATCTATGTTTTTTTCTAGTTGAGATTGAACAAATTCCCTCCCCCCTGTACAATTGGTCCTTGGTTTTGGAACGTTCCTTTAGGTATCTTTTAAAGTTGCAACAGCTCTGACTTGTGGTTGGTTCTCCTACTTATGTCTCTGCAGTCACATGATCGCAATCCAAGTGCTTGACAATCAGTTCACACGTGCAAAAGTTGCTGTGTCCTACATTCATGTGATTGCCGTTTGCGACCTTCCTAAATGGCTTCTGATGAGCAAAGTCAATGGGAGAAGCCAGCAAGAGGTTGCAATTCATGGTCTTACTTAACGACTGGGGGCGGGGGGGGGGGGGGGGGGAGGAAAGGTTGCAAAAGTCTCTATTGTGATTATAAATCAAGGGCAACCTATACGTCCTGTGGCACTCTTCATGCATCATAG